TGAAACCGCATCTGGATTACTAAAACGTATCAGTGAATTACATCCTTCTTACCTTGCTCTTCAGTATCCATTACTATTTCCATATGGAGATGATGGTTATAGAGTTGACATCCTTCATAGAAGTATAACAGCTTCAAGTAACAGCAAACGCCCGACATGTACAATGAGAGAATTTTTCGCTTACAGAATTCAAGATAGAGATCAATCGTTCTCACTACTTCTTAATGCTAAAAGGCTGTTCCAACAATTTATAGTTGATGGTTATACAATGATTGAAAGTGAGCGATTATATTTCATACGTAAGCAACAAAAAATTCTTAGATGCGAGTCTTATGAGAATCTGCGTAATCACCAAGCATGTGGGAGTACAGATATCTCAAATGTTGGGCAACGTGTGATCTTACCTTCTTCGTTTACCGGTGGTGCACGTTATATGATGCAAAACTATTTGGATGCCATGTCACTATGTAAGTGGTTTGGATATCCTGATTTTTTCATAACCTTTACGTGTAATCCAAAATGGCCAGAAGTTCAAAGGTTTCTTAAGGACACTCCACTTCATCCAGAAGATAGACCGGATATATTATGTAGGTTATTTAAGATTAAGTTGGATGCATTTATTAAAGATTTAAGGCAAAATGAAATTTTTGGCAAAGTTCAAGCATGTATTTAAAATTATACTTTAATATATTTGTGTGTGTGTATATATATATATATATATATATATATATATATATATATATATACCTTCTTTAGTTGCTAACTTCTATCCTGTTTGTATATTTTTTCATGCAGTGGTTTACACAATTGAATTTCAAAAAAGAGGTCTGCCGCATAGTCATATATGTCTATTTATGCATTCTGACTACAAGCTTCCTACAGTTGAATATATCGATCCGATTATTTCTGCTGAGATTCCAAATATTGATGAAGATCGAGAATTATATTCACTTGTCAGGGAGTTCATGATTCACGGCCCATGTGGAGCTGAAAATTTGAATTGCCCATGCATGGTGGACAGAAAGTGTTCTAAAAACTTTCCAAAGCAATTCTGTAATCATACTTCACTTGATTAAGATGGTTTTCCTTTATATAGGAGAAGAAATGATGGAAATTCTGTTGAAAAATCTGGTGTTCATTTAGATAACAGAAATGTTGTTCCATACAACAAATACCTGTTGAAAAGATATCAGGCACACATTAATGTTGAATGGTGCAATCAAGGATCTTCTATAAAATATTTATTTAAATATATAAACAAGGGTCTTGATAGAGCGACTATTGCTGTGGTGCACAACAATAATGATTCTGATGACAACGATGCAGTCGATGAAATCAAAGAATACTATGATTGTAGATATATATCTGCATGTGAAGCATCATGGCGTATTTTTAAATATGATGTTCATTATAGGTATCCTGCTGTGATTAGACTGCCTTTTCATTTGCCTGGTCAACAACAAGTCATATATGAGGCAGACGATGATATTGAAGATGTTCTTGACCGTCCTTCAAATGCTTCTTCAATGTTTATATCTTGGATGAAGTGTAATGAAACCAATAAAGAAGCACAGAAACTTACATATGCTGAATTTCCTACAAAGTTTGTTTGGAAACCTAACCTTCAAACTTGGAAGCCAAGGGAAGTTGGATATTCTATTGGTAGAATTCACTCGGTTTCTCCTAAACTTGGCGAAGCATATTTTTTAAGAATTCTTTTAAATAAAGTGAAAGGTCCAAAATCATTCGAAGAAATTCGCACGGTCAATGGTGAAATATGTTCTTCTTTTAAAGATGCATGCTATAATTTAGGCCTTTTGGATGATGACAAAGAATACATCGAAGCAATTAAAGAAGCAAGTCTTTATGGATCTGGTTTTTATTTACGTTTCTTATTTGCTACGATGTTATTGTCCACCAGTTTGTGTAAGCAAGAGATTGTGTGGGAAAACACGTGGGAATACCTCTCAGATGGAATTCTTTATACTCAACAAAAGAGATTAAACTCTCCAGGTATTATATGTTTATTACATTATTATTAAAATTGTATCATATAAATTTCCAATATGCAGTCAATTACATTTTACATCCCACTTAATCTCTTTTTTAATATGATGTAAGTAATATTGTGTTGTTCGTACAAGTTTATCACTAAACGAAAATCAAATTAAAAACTTGACTTTGTTTGAGATAGAACAAATTTTACTTCGAAACAATTCCAGTCTCAAGCACTATACAAGGATGCCTTACCCTGATCTTGATTCGGTTTCATCTTCAAACAATCGTTTGATAGCCGAAGAGCTAGATTATGACATACCAAATTTAAAGAATGACTTTGATCGACTCTTTGTTTCATTAACCGATGAGCAACGCAACATTTTTCAAGATATCATGGCTAAGGTTAAAAATAATAAGGGAGGTGTATTCTTTATTTATGGTTACGGTGGAACGGGTAAGACATTTCTCTGGAAGACAATTTCTGCAGCAATTAGATGCCAAGGAGAGATTGTTTTAAACGTTGCTTCAAGTGGGATCGCTTTTTTATTGTTGACTGGAGGCAGGACAGCACACTCTCGGTTTATAATTCCCATAAATCTTACCGAGGATTCTTACTGTAGAATAAATCCAAAGAGTGATCGTGCAAGTTTAGTAAGAAAAGCCTCATTGATCATTTGGGATGAAGCACCGATGGTACACAAGCATGCATTTGAAGCTTTAGATCGAACTTTGAAGGATATATTAAGAGTTGTCAATCCTACAAACTCAAATATTCCATTCGGGGGAAAAGTGGTTGTTTTTGGAGGTGATTTCAGACAAATTCTACCTGTTGTTCCGGGTGGCAGTAGACAAAACATTGTTAACGCTTCTTTAAGCTCTTCGTATTTATGGCAACAATGCAAAGTCCATAAATTAACAAAAAACATGATGTTAACTGTTGGAAGCGATTCATCTGCTGTTGATCGAATAAAGGGTTTTTCAAATTGGCTTTTGGACATAGGAGAAGGTAATCTTGGTGGTCCGAATGATGGTGAAGCAATTGTTGATATTCCAGAAGATATTCTCATTAATGATCCATGTGATCCTATTGGTTCATTAATCAATTTTGTATATCCTTCCATTCTTGAAAACTTCAACATCGCGGGTTATTTTCAAGAAAGAGCAATACTTGCTCCCAAAAATGAAGTTGTTCAAGAAATAAATGATCGGTTGCTAAAATTGATTCCAGGAGAGGAAAAAGAATATTTAAGTTCAGATAGCCTCTGCCAATCTGAGTTTGTCCATGATCAGTTTGATGCAAATTTATACTCACCTGATGTTTTAAATGGTCTTAAAATGTCAGGTATGCCAAACCATAATCTCATTTTAAAAGTCGGTGTTCCAGTTATGTTATTGAGAAACATTGATCAGAAAAATGGCTTATGCAATGGCACTAGACTACAGGTCAAAACTTTGGGCAAACGTGTTATCGAGGCAGTTATCATATCTGGAAGTAATATTGGAAAGCGGACTTTTATTCCAAGAATGTCTTTAACTCCTACTGAAAACAAGATCCCGTTCAAATTCCAAAGAAGACAATTCCCATTGGCTGTATGTTTTGCAATGACAATTAACAAGAGCCAAGGACAGTCTTTATCGAAGGTTGGATTGTTTCTCAAGGATCCTGTTTTTACACATGGTCAATTATATGTTGCTTTATCTAGGGTTCAAAGTAGAGAATGATTAAAATTGTTAATTTTAGATAACCATGGTAAACTATCAAATAAAACATCCAATGTCGTGTATAAAGAAGTTTTTAGAAATTTATAAAAACTTTGTACAACTTTATTATTTATATCAATTTATGTTTTTTGTTTTATTTAAATTTTTGCATTATACAAAATGATTATTTTCTTACATATCTATAAATACAAATTGTTTATTTGATATTCAAACGATTACCATTTCTTAATTTCAACCAATCATTATATCATTATCCAATTACATACAAAACATTGCTAAATAATTAAATTATAATTTAATTGATATTATTTTGAAATTTCTCACCCGTGGTGTCCACGGGTTATAACCTAGTAAATCAATAAACATTTCAAATAAATAATCCCAAACCTAAATATCCGTTGATATAGTCCTACAACCCTATCTAAAGTGGACAATCCACTCTTATCAAAAATAGTAAACAATCATAGTTGTTGAAGCTCAAGGTAGTTCAATAATAATAAAATACAAAAATCCAAAAATTCCAACATTCTATATTTTTTGATATCGCAGATATTTGATATATGAAATCATGTTTTCCTAAATATTTTATTTATATTTGACAATGAAAAAAGGCCACCAAAAATTGATAAAAAATTTAATTTATTAGTTGCTTGATCTTAAGCCACAGTTTAAGGATATGGATTAACTACACACTTCACTTTTGCATGGGAGCCATTTAAAAATTGGTTAAAATTATTTTTTGCAAATTTATTTTGTCAGTTCAAGTAATAACTTAATGATATTTATTGATCAACTCATTATATTCGTTCTCCACTTGCCAACTTTTGTCACGATTAACTATCCTACGATTGAATATAGGAGGTCGATGGCTATCATTATATAAAAAGGAATACGACATAATACATAATACAATAATACATAATGGTTTATCTTATCATTTATCAACCCCATGATATATAAACATTAAACAATGAGTTCTTCCTTGGTTTGGAGTTTCTTAATATTATAATTAAGATGTTCTTTTTGTATGGTTTTTGGTAAATGTTGCCTACCTTTTTAATTACTTATTTAAATTGACAAAAAAAGATAAAATTTTCAGATATCCGAATCAATTATATCTTGTTTAACGTAATGCAAAATTAAAAGATTTATTTTACAGTCAGAAGAAAAAAGACTTCTCCCTTTCATACCTAACTATTTAAAATTTGTCCTTCAATTTCTTTCTCAAGTGTACTGTTGTTCCAAAAACTATGAACTAAACACAATTTTGAACAGGAATATATCAAACAAAAAACTAGACCAAAAAACCAGTGCAATTCGGATTCTGTCTTGAAACTCAAAACTTTTTATTTCCCATTACATATATTAATATGTGATAATATATAAATATCCAAAATCTGAGATACAAACTACACAAACTTGGCACATTTTGAAAACACATGTTTGTGAGAAAGAGAAGGAGAAAGATGTTCAGATTTGAGCAGAATGATCTCCACTGTAATCAATCTCATTGTCCAAGTCAAAGTCATCCTCATCGGGATCCATGGATCCGCCAATCTCCGGCCGCCCATCCGTGGTGGTGGAGCCTTCTCCGGGAACCTTTGCCTCTTGTATGATCCGGTTGACCTCATCAACACTTTGCAGTGATTGGTCAAAGCTTGCATTCTCATAGTTTGTTTTCTCACCTTCAACCAGATCCTTAGGCATGTTCTTCATAAACCATGGATGTTTCTTGATTTCTGCTATCGTGATTCTCTTCAAAAAAAAAAACAATTCATAAACTTATTAGATTAAGTCATGTTTCCATTAAGTCCATTAAGTAAAAAGAAACAAGAAATAAAAGAGGCACACCTTGGAGGGGTTTGACACAAAGATATGAGAAAGAAGGTGTCTACAATCAACAGAAACACGCACATAATCTGGTATTGAGTATTGGACACTCACGATTCTCTGCCAAAAATTAATCAAATTAAGATAAAAAAAAATGAGTTTGACTTTTGGAAGTCAAATGGAAGAATCCCCAAACTTTAAATTCAAGTTAAAGCATTTGAATTCTTTTGGGAAAAGTCAAAGAGATTACAACTCCTCAACACAAAGTAATTGACTTTTGGAAGTCAAAAGCATGAATCTTCAAGCATCAGATTCAAGTTAAATCATTTGAAATTTTTCGGGAAACATAACATAATGTTTTTGAACATATGACATAAAACAAAGACAAAGTAGTTATTTCTTGAATTTGTGAGCAAATTTATTCCAATTTCGAAATCTAAAAGTGTTATATTTGACTCAAAAGTCAAAGAAAGAAATCTCACCCCAATGGTTTTACGAAAATTCCTAGGATCTTCAGGGTCCTCAAAAGGGTAAGCTCCAACCAACATAACATACAGAGTCACACCACACGACCAAACATCTGCAATCTAACAACAAACAAGATTCACAATTTCATTATAATTAAAAAAAAAACGAAAACTTTAATTCAACAATAAAATTATATTCAAAAATACCTTCCCATCATATTCTTTCCGAGATAGAACCTCGGGGGCAATGTAAGCTGGTGTTCCAACAGTAGATTTCGGTTGTGAGTGCAATAAACCAGACTACACAAAAAACAAACATAAAATATAAAAAAACATATAAAAATGTAAACTTTACTTTAAAAGATAATATTATTAAACCTTTGAATAACCGAAATCACATATTTTGAGACGTGGGGATGGACTCCCATCTAGGAGAGTGTTCTCTAGCTTCAGATCTCTATGACAAATTTCCTGAAATTAAAGAAAATACTATAGGGTATTAATATTATCTTTTTTTTTTTTTACCATGAAATTAAAGATATTATTATTATTATTATTATTTTACCATGGAATGACAGTAGCTGACTCCAGATAGAAGTTGTTGGAAGAAAAACCGAGCCTGTATTCAAGAAAAAAGATTTCCCAATTTTAATGCGTGTGGAAATTATAATAAGATGAAGAAAATGAAGTTAAAATGTGTAAAAAAAAAAAAAAAAAAAACCTCATCTTCACTGAATCTTCCAGCACTTGTGATCTTACTAAAAAGTTCACCACCAGCTGCGTATTCCATGACTATAGCCAAATGTGTCCGAGTTAATAACACCTGCATGATTGGGATTTCAAGAATGACATGTTTTCATGAAGAGGGCATTTATGTCTTTTTGCATAGATGAAAGATCTAAAGTGGGTTATGGCCTGTGTGTAACAAAGGGGCCTAAAAGCTGAAATATAAATTTACCTCTTTGAACCTGACGATGTTGGGATGCCTTAATGACCTGTGGTTAATGATTTCCCTCTGAACGTTTTCATCAATCTGAAAAAAAAAATAATAAAAAATTAGTGGTCATAAGTTGCTATTGAAGTGGAAATACATGAGACAAGCACATTCAAATGTAGGAGTTCAAGTTCAATCAAACATGAGACACAAAATCGGTTTACACTTAGCTATGTATATGTGATCTTTAAAATCAATCTTTACGCATATTCAACAATTACCCTAGATTTTTTACTTGTTCATCTCTAAGTTCACAAATTTCTAAAATGGGCTTTCAAATCTAAAATTTGCTCAAAATCTTGAAATTAAGTTGACTCCAGGATGGTCAAACCCTAGTCTATAAAAAGATTCCATCTTTTTTCAAACTTCACTGAATTCTATGAGGTAATACCAAAATCTGAACTCGTTAAACCACAACACAACATAGCCACAAAGATGGTTAACTCCACAATGCGAATCTTGTAAAAACAACACAAGAAAAACAAGAAATATATTTGTTCTTGATCACCGTTTTCAGCAAAAGAATTAAAAAAAAAAATCTTGAATCAAAAGGTGGGTTAAAATGATCTGAACAGTGAAATATAATCAAACAAAACCCATCGAAAAATTCCAATGGAAAGAGTGAAACATCAAAACAATTAGAAACTATCATCAAATTAGATAAAGAAAGTAAACTTTATAGTTTATACCTTTTTCCCTCTTTCAATGTATTTGACGGCAAACAACTCTTTAGTCTTTTTATCTCTAACCAGCCTTGCCACTCCGAAATTCCCAGAACCAAGCTCTTTCAATGGTTCGTACTTCTCCTCCATTGTAGCAGAAGAAAACTATTCAGTAAAATCCCCAAAATGTGAGAGCACAAACGTTTGAACTCAAAACCCAATAGAAACGAGTCAAATTTTAAACAAAATCCAGGCGAAAGAATCGGAAAGTTTTCAGAGAGGTTGATGGCGATTTGTATGAATCAAGACATAGAGACTGGGTTTTAGGAGTTGTATTATAAAGAGAAAGGGTCAATGTTAGTGGAATTTTTTAAGAGTAGCTTAGAAGTTAGAAATCGAGCTCAAATTCAAAGGATCTAATGAGGGTTTTGTTTTTAAGAATTAAATAAGATTTTGTTAAGCATCCGATATTTTATAAAACAATCTATTTCAATTTGATTGTTGACTATTGCATTTTATTTTACAGTTGCTTTAATTTTTCATGATTATAAAGAGTAAATTATAAATTTAGTCCTTAAATTATAAGAAATTTACGCTTTAAAATGCTCATTTGGTTCAAAGTCACTTGCATCATCTTATTTTGGCCCCTAAAAATTTATCATTTCTACAACATAAAAGTTTCAATCAAGGATATTTTTTGTCTATGCTATTTAGCATCTTTGATTATATATATATGACAAAATTGCAAGAATGGTCCCTATGGTATGTCAAAACTAGCAACTTTGGTCCAAAATGGGTTTGGCTCGCAAGGATGGTCCAATAGTTTCGTTTTGTTGTGAGTTTAGTCCAATTTCCTATGAATTTTTTTATAATGACGGATTTGCCCTTATTTTTTTATTTTCTATTTTTCTTGTATTACAACAATTAAAAAATAAAACAAAAATAAAATCTCTCTCTCTCTCTCTCTCTCTCTCTCTCTCTCTCTCTCTCTCTCTCTCTCTCTCTCTCTCTCTCTCTCGTCAAGAGCTTTTTCTGGGTTTGTTCTTGTCCACCCAACTAGTCCCTCTTTAACCACATCTGCAATCTAAAACATGAACAATCCAATTTTCTACAAACTCAATTTTTTCCATATCACTTAAATTGGAACAAGAACACTCATGAATAAGAAATCTGAAAACGTCCAGAAAACAAAAATGAAAACCAAATCGATTATCGATTTTTGAAAACAAAATCGATGGAGAAGAGGGTGGATGTTATTGGTATCTTGATCTGGAAAGTCATCGGTCGGACGTTGGAGTCGCTGGAGCCGGATTCGTCACCTCTCACCGAAATAGGTTTCCAACGTGGGTTACTGTCTGGGATCTTTGCAACCTTTGTCTTCATCTGTACGGAGGTGACGACGACCATTTAACAAACCCTAAATCGTCACCAAGAAAAGCTCAAGATCTCCGCCGCCATGCTCCTCCGATTCTTCAGATCTATCTTGGACTCACACTCGAAACACCAAAACCCTCTTTGTCAGCTTTAGATCTTCGCCTCTATGATCCTTCGATTTGAAAACCCTTCGATCTGAAAAACCCTCTCATTTGAAAGCCTTCGTCATGTTGAGCTCGCCATTGCTACCAGAGAAGAACTGATAGAAAAGAAGAACCGAGATCCGAAAGATTTAGAGTTCATGGCTGACGAGACCTAAACATCTAAGGGGTGGCGTCGACGGTGGTCTGATGAACCACAAATCTGTAAACAAAGAACCGGAGTTAGGGTTTCTTCTGATGAAAACTGAAGCGGGGGAGGAAGAGAGATGAGCAGGTGGTGACTCCATCTAGACGGTGGCTACTGTGGCAGAGGGTGGCGGTCCGACGAGAAGATTCCAACTGATCTAATTTTTCCGGCAGCTTGTGTTCTTGTAAAATGAAAATGCGTTAGAGAGAGAAAGAGAAAGAGAGGAATGAGGGATGAGGTGTGTATTTTTTATTTCTCATTTTTGCAATAAAAAGAATTAAGAAAATAAAACTAAAAAGGGCAAATACGTCATTATAAATAAGTTCATAGGAAATTGGACTAAATTCGCAACAAAACGAAACTATTGGACCATCCTTGCGAGCCAAACCCATTTTGGACCAAAGTTGCTAGTTTTGACATACTACAGGGACCATTCTTGCAATTTTTTTTTTCTCTCTCTCTCTCTCTCTCTCTATATATATATATATATATATATATATATTATATATAATATATATATAGATATATAGGGTGAGGTTCAATAGAGAACCATAATTAACCAAGGAACCAATCTTTTTTTCAACTTTTAGAACTTATTTTTTATCAAAAAAAAAAACTAAAAATACAGAAATTCATAACTTTTTATCATTTTTCCAATGATATCAAATTCGATTTTTTTACGTCAAATTCACAATGTGAATCTTTGAAAATTCACAATGTGAATCCGGATTCACACGGTGAATCCAAAATATTTTTCACATTCACAATGTTAATATATGAATTTAGATATTTTTAGATTTTTTTTTCGATAAAGAATAAACTCTAGAAATTGAAAAAAAGATTTAGTTCCTTGAAGAACCAATAATTATGGTTCTCTATTGAACTTTTCCATATATATATATATATATATATATATATATATATATATATATATATATATATATATATATATTGTCGGTTCATGATCATGGTTTAAACAACACTTGGGTTAAGCTAAATTGTAATATCCGGATTTCCAGGTATGTTATTTTTATTATTTATTTTGAGAATTTTCGGAAGGACTCGACGAGTTGGTGCCTCAACTCATCGAGTAAGGTCGCGACTTGGTGACGTGGATAATGAATGGACTCGACGAGTCGGAGAGATGACTTGCGTAGTCAGCGCTGTTGACAGAAACCCTAATTCTCTCGGGCCTGGGCCTATTTAAAGGCACTTATGGCCTCCATATCACCTCCATCAGTGTCCATTCACCCCCTGAGAGAAACCCTAGCGTTTATTGTGAGCAAGAGAGGGAGGGAGACTCATTGAAGTCGCTTTCTTAAGAAGAAGAGCAAGGTGCTTCAAGGATCAAGGAGGAGAGCTTGTGGATCCGCTTCATCTCCATTTCAAGCTTCAGGTCTAGGTATAAGCTCTTACCTTCTTTGTTGATTTATTAGAACCCTTGGTTGTGAGCTTAGGGCTTGTATCACTTATTGATGGGGTTTTGGGTGCATCAAACCCCCTTTTTACGAGTCACTCTATAGATCTGGACCTTGTAAGGTCCAGAGAGTCATAAAGTAGGAGGCCATGGTTGAGCAACCATGGAGCTTTGAAGTTTGGAAGCTTTAGTGGAGTCTTAATGGCATATAGAGCAAAATATACCATGCATGGACATCAAAATCGAACCTTTACGTGACTTTTGAGTATTAGGAGGTTAGATCTATGAGCTAGAGCTACAGATCTGACCTCAGGTGGCTGAATGAGAAATCCGATGGAGCCAACTCGCCGAGTCCATGGGATGACTCGACGAGTCGTAGCGGGTTTGACATAGTAGCCTTGACCCAGTGTTAACTCATCGAGTTGGGAGTCAACTCGACGAGCTGAGTGAACCCTAGGGAGGATTGGAGAATACGAGTAGACTCGGCGAGTCACAGGAGTGCACTCGGCGAGTTAGGTCAACGTTGACTGTTGACCCGGGTTGGCTTCTGTTGACTTCATGGGTGGGTCAATAAGGGGCAGGAGGGACCAAGGAGGGGTAAAATGGTCTTTTACCCATTCCGAGGGTTAAAAGGGAAAAAGAGGACTTAAGGTGTAAATGAGTAATAAGACGGATAATGATTGAGATGCTTGTATAATGTGTTAGGCGGGGGCTAGTCCAGGATTCCGAGTACTTGTCTGGTACCTACTAGCCACGAGGTGAGTCTTCTCACTATACCTTACCTAGAATGGTAATTATGTGTGACCGGAAGGTCTTATGTGTTTATAAGGGTTATGTGATATATGATTTTATCTATGTGATATGTATATGCTATATCCTGAACGAGGCGACTCTTCTCACTATACCTTACCTAGAGTGGTAATTATGTGTGACTGGAAGGTCTTATGTGTTTATAAGGGTTATGTGATATATGATTTTATCTATGTGATATGTATATGCTATATCCTGAACTTGCATGGTTTGGACCGGAAGGTCAACAGAGTAGGACCGAAAGGTCTACAGAGTTAGGACCGGAAGGTCATCATGGGTAGGACCGGAAGGTCTACCAGAGTTGTGGGACCGGAAGGCCCCACTGAGACACATTGACCGGAAGGTCTCTTATAGCTATAGCCTTGAGTGACTAATTATATGTACGTGGTATTTTGGGGAACTCACTAAGCATGCGTGCTTACCGTGTTATGTGATATATGTTTCAGGTACTTCAGAGGATCGCAGGAAGACACTGGCATGATTGTACACACACATACACACACCGTTGAGATGGAGTTATGTTGTGGATCCTGGATTCGATATAATGTTTTGAAAACTTTGTTGACTGATATTTGGTGTTTTAACAAAAATGATATGTGTTTTATGAAATTAAAAATGAAAATTTTGGTTGAAAATTTATGCTGTTACAAGTTGGTATCAGAGCCTTGGTTTGAGGGGTTCGGATACACCTTCGGGTATGTCTGGACTCAAACTGAGGATTTGAGAAAAGTTTTCAAAAGAAGCGATTTTTTTTTCTAAAAACGAGTAAGAGATTTTAAAAGAAAGTGGAAAAGAAAAACAGTGTGTACAATCAGCCAGCGCCCGAACGGTGATTTCCCAAATACCCTTAGTTTATGTATTATGAAATATGTTATGCATGCTAGAAGGTAGGCTGGGTATTTCATATTTTAGGAATAGAGTGGCCTGATTTGTGATGCCTTAGCCTAGGAATTTCTGCTACTGTGAATTTCTGTGAGTACAAGTAGGTGGCAGAGAAGAGCTTATGAGGGGTCTACTAGAGAGTAGCCTGTGTTTCGAGAGTCATAGAGTATTTGTGATCTGAGGTCCTAGGAGGAGGACTTGGGGTGAATACAAATGCGGTGTGGAAGGTAGTGTTGGGCCTGTACTACTGGAAACACCGGATCAGTAAGCAGCCCAAGTAAGAATCCTTAGGATGCTAAGGAGCAAGTAGGGGCGAGTGATCGAGTGTGAGTATAATCGAGTGAGTCTTTGATGATTTTATGTTGTGTTTCAGAGACATCATGGTGGGTATGCGCCACAACCCGAGAGGCAGTGGTACCAGTGGTACGAGTGACGAGGAGATTCGCAGGATGATCCACGAGGAGGTGGCCGCAGCCATTCGAGCAGAGATACAGGAGATGTTTGGGTCTATTAAGACCACCCTGATTGAGACGTTTGATGAGAGATATGCTGCTCTTACTGAGGCGGCTGCTGCTG